GAGACTTTCTGGTAATTATCATTCAGAATAAAGCCACGTGTGTCTTATCCTCAAGCACTCAATTCAAAACATTCAGTTACTCACCCTCGAGCAGATGCTGTGATTTTATAAGTTCCGGGAACCAAGAGACGCCAGTAATCTCCACTTTTGTAAGTAGTTACTGGGTGATTAATTTCAGCAACACTAATGGTGGCATTTAATATGCCCCTGCCATCCGTGGCATCCAGGACAAATCCTCTGACACCCTGATGAACCTGGATAAAGTACAAGGACATCCAGATTTCAATAGTAAAGATCATCATGTGACTATTTTGGGAGCTCATATCCAAACAATGGATTGTTAATAATGCAAACAAATGGAACAAACAGGATTCAGGAGTTCACAGTAAAATTAAATGTAAATGCTCATTAACCAAAGTACTTCTGAAGGCTAATTTTTCATAGGCTAGATTTGTCTTATCATGAGGAATACATAAATAACACTGTTTAAACTTAAGCACATTCTGATGAATGTAGCCTAGCCTCTTTCAAAAAGAAACTGTCACTTTTTAAAAAATAAAAAACAGAAGGACTGTTCTAAGATGAAAAAGAGTAAAAGGAAACATAATCAGATACAATGCAGAATCTTGACTAGATCCTGATCCTAAAATAGAACTATAAAATTACATTTGAGGAACAAGTGGGGAAATTTGAATACAGACAGGTATTCGGTAATATTAGGAAATTACTATTAATCTTCTTAGGTGAGATAATAGCATTTGGGGATAGCATATAGGACAATATTATTTTTTAAGAGATAGATGCTGAAATATTTAAAGACAAGATATCACAACACCTGTAAATTATATTATATTGAAATAGTTTAGATAAAAAATGTGTGTGTGTGTGTATATGTAAAATTTACATAAAAATAAAACAGAGCAAAATGTTAAAAATGTTCTATGTAGGTATAGGAATATTTATTGACTAGTCATAGCTTTTCTGTATGTTTAAAATTTTTCAGAATAAAATATTTTTAAATATTAGTAAAAATTCACAGCCTTTATTGCCATACTACTCAGGGAAAAAAATACAGAAATGTGCTGGCACAAAGTATTAGTCAGATTATCCTAATTAACAATTAACATATTTCTTATAGTTTTTACCTACTGGCCAGACGTGCATATCCAAAAAAGAAATTAATAATTTCATAGTAAATCACTGGCAATAAAAGAATAAAAACCTTTGCTCCATAGGCCATCTTTCTATTATTTGACAAGTGCTTAGGGGAGTACCCAATTAATGTTGGCCTTTTATAAAGACAGGGTAAAAACTGACCACTAACTATTAAAAGCAAAAACGCTGGGCACAGTGGCTCACATCTGTAATCCTAGCACTTTGGGAGATCAAGGTGAGTGGATTACTGGAACTTAAAGAGTTTGAGACCAGCCTGAGCAAGAGTGAGACCCCACCTCTACTAAAAAACAGAAAAACCAGCCAAGCATTCTGGTCGGTGCCTGATGCCCCAGCTACTTGGGAGGCTGAGGCAAGAGGCTCACTTGAACCAGGAGTTTGAGATTGCTGTGAGCTATTATGCCACAGCACTCTATCTAGGGCAAAAGAATGAGACTCTGTCTCAAAAAAAAAAAAAAAAAAAAGCAAGCAAAACATCACTACCCTGTTTATACAAATTCATGAATTTTCTAGATAAATATGCTAAACAAATTGGAAGAATATAATAAAACAAGTTGAAATTCAAAAAGTATAGTCTAAAATCACTGAATGAAAGCCACTTGTACACAGGAAAATCTTGCTTTTCAGAGAAATTATATATTTCACTTCCAAATAGTTACCTGTTTCATAAACTGGAGTAGAGATCTTCGATTCTGTTCCCAATATTTTGGCAGATCCTTCTCAAATGGATATTTCACACAACCTAGTTCAATAGTCACTTCAAAGCAATTAGTTTGCAAATAGTTCCAGTCCTGCATACCTCCTAAAGAATAAAAAATTAAAAATTAGTCACGCTGAAGAAGTTCTAAACAGTTCAGATCCCCAAAAGTAAGCAGTATTCCTGGTAAAAAGCTAAATTCATCTTCTATCATCTCTGAATGAAAAAAATAATGCATTCATGTGAGGCTCTTAGATGCTTGTGATACAGGCAAAACATCTTTAGTTTCATATACAAGAAGACAAATGTAACTTTCCTATTAGCACCTGCGAGGTTCTTTGTAATAGCCAGAAGTAAAATATAACAATTTAATTTTTAGTGTATTATTCTTGCCCAAAACTCAAAGCACACCAAATGTATTAATAAAAGTAGTTGGAAAGATTATTTGAATGTTTTAAACTATTTAAACGACATTTTAAAAGAACAATTCTTCCTGAGAATTAGAAGAACAGTAAGAAGCAGTACCATCCACAGGCATGAAAAAGACATCAAGTTGTAAGGCCTTAGTATAAAATAATTTTTACCTGGGACGTTATACCAATTAGCTCCATTTGTTATTCCATGAGGAAAATATTCATTAGGGTACATACTCTTGCAAGGTCTACCTTGAAACATCTGGGAATTTTCCTGGGGAAAAAAAAAAAAAGAATCTCCATTTGCATTTGTTTGTACCGGCATTTTGATGCAGAAGAATACAGGGAAACAGTAAGAGGAGGCAAAGCGTGGTGGCTCACGACCTTAATCCTGGCACTCTGGGAGGCTGAGGTGGGAGGATTGCTTGAGCTCAGGAGTGTGAGGCCAGCCTGAGCAAGAGGGAGAAACTCTGTCTCTACTAGAAACAGAAAACCTAGCTGGGTGTCCAGGTGCACACCTGCAGTCCCAGCTACTCGAGAAGCTGCTCAGAAGGTTTGAGCCCAGGAGAATGAGGCTGCAGTGAGCTACAAAGACACCACTGTACTCTACCCAGGTCAAAGTGAGACTTCCTCTCAAAAAAAAAAAAAAAAAAAAAGAAGAAGAAGAAGAGGAAGAAGAAATTATCAACCTAGAGATTGCCAATCATTTCATATTTTGGTATATAACTTTTAGGCCTACAGTATATGAACACAGAATGGCTGCCCAACCCTGTCTTCTTTAGGTTCTCAAAGACCATTTTATTGAAATACAATTCACAGACACACAGTTCACCCATTTAAAGTGCACAATTAGATGGCATTTAGTATTTACTGAGTTGTGCAGCCATCACCACAGGTAACTCGAGAAACCTTGGGCCCATGAGCATTCTGCATGTCCCCCCAACCCCACCCCAAGCCCCAGGCAACCACCAATCTACTTTCTGTCTCTATGGATTTGCCAATTCTGGACATAACACATAAATGGATTCCTACAATATGTGTCTTTGTTGTACCAGGTAGTAGGACTTTATTTCTATCTATGGCTGGATAATATTCCATTATATGATTTTTGTTTGTTCATCAGTTTGTTTACCCATTCATCAGGTGATGGGCATTTGAGTCATTGCCATTTGGGGATGTTAGGAATAATGCTTCCATGAACATTCACGTACAAGTTTTTGTGTAGATGTATGCTTTCATTTCTCAGGGTATATGCTTAGCAGTGGAATTACTGGGTCATACTGTAATTCTAACATTGTGAGGAACTGCCAGACTCTTTTCCAAAGCAGTTATACCATTTACCTTTTCCCACCAGGAATGCATACAAGAGGGTTCCAATTTCTCCACATCCTTGCCAACATTTGTGTTCTCTTTGTTAGTTACAGCCATACTGCTCGGTAAAAAGTGGTGCCTCATTGTGGTTTTCATTTGCATTTCTCTGATGACTAATGATGTTGAGAGTCTGTTCAGGTGCTTTTTGACCATTTGTCTATCTTCTTTTTTTTTTTGAGACAGAGCCTCAAGCTGTCCCCCTGGGTAGAGTGCCGTGGCATTACAGCTCACAGCAACCTCCAACTCCTGGGCTCAAGCGAGTCTCCTGCCTCCGCCTCCCAAGTAGCTGGGACCACAGGCACCCGCCACAATGCCCGGCTATTTTTTGGTTGCAGCCGTCATTGTTGTTTGGCAGGTCCGGGCTGGGGATTCGAACCCGCCACCTTAGGTGTACGTGGCTGGCGCCTTAGCCGGTTGAGCTATAGGCGCCGAGCCTTGTCTATCTTCTTTAAGAAATGTCTATTCAGAGTCTTTGCCCATTTTCAGCTGGATTATTTATCTTTTTATTATTTAGCTGTAGAGTTTTCTTTATGAATTCTAGATTTAAATACTTTATCATATATAATTAAGAATTATAAAAAATTTCTCTTATTCTATGGGTTACCTTTCTAATTCCTTTACATTATCTTTTATGAGTTGAACTATGTCCTCCATAAAAGATATGTTGAAGTCCTAACCTGCCCCCCTCAAAGCCCTTGGTATCTGAGAATGTGATCTTACTTGGAAGTAATTTCTTTATAGAGGTAATCAAGTTAAAATGAGGTGATTAGGGTGGGCCCTAATCCAAAATGACTAATATCCTTACAAAAAGGGAAAACAGGGACACAAAGACACAGGAAAATAATCATGTGAAGATGAAGGATCAAAATGATCCTTATAAAAGGGGAAAATATGGACACAAAGACACAGGGAAATAATCAGGTGAAGATGAAGGATCAAAATGATCCTCATAAAAGGGGGAAATATGGACACAAAGACACAGGGAAATAATCACATGAAGGTGAAGGATTGGAATGATGCATTTAGAAGCCAAGGTTGCTGACAAAGTACCAGAACCTAGGGAGAAACAAGCAACGATTCTCCCACATGTTTCAGAGGGAACAAGGCCCTACTGACACCTTTGATTTTGGGCTTCTGGCCTCTAGAACTGTGAGACAACACATTTCTGCTGTCTTAGGCCACCCAGTTTGTGGAATCATGTTATAGCAGATCCAGAAAACTAACAGTTTCCTTTGCAATAGAAACTTTTTAATTTTGATGATGTCTAATGTAACAATCACTTTTTGTCATTTGTGCTTTGGATGACATACCTAGAAAACCAAAGTCATAAAGATTTATCTTTTTTTCTAAGAGTTTTATAGTTTTGGCTCCTAATTTAAGTATAAATCTAAACCATTTTGAGCCAATTTTCAGGTATATTGTGAAGAAGGGATCTAGATTTACTCTTTTGCATATGAATATCCAATTGTCCCAGAACCATTTGTTGAAAAGACTATTCTTTGCCCTCTGAATTGTTTTGGCATACTTGTTAAAAAAAAAAAAAAGACAATCAATGTAAGGGTTTATTTCTGGATTCTCAATTCTATCTCATTGACCTATATGTCCATTCTTATGCTACTACCACACTCTTAAATTACTACAGATTTGTAATAAGTTTGAAATTTGGAAACCTGAGTTCCCTAACTCCTGTTCTTCATTCCAGAGATCATTTTGTCTTTTTCTTTCTTGAATCCTATCAACTTTCTTTTATTCCCTCCCTCTTCTTTTCTGTTTTTATTATATGATTATGTATGATATAATTTTGACTGAGTTAAGATAGTTTTTCATATTCTTAATGCGTGTTTGGATATATTTAATCTGTCTGGAGTGCCACTTTGCAGTTTTCTTCTGCTTCTTTTTCAGTTTTTTGTTTTTTTTTTTTTTTTTTGGGAGACAGAGTCTCACAATGTCACCCTTGCTGGAGTGCTGTGGTATCACAGCTCACAGCAATCTCAAACTCTTGGGCTTAAGCGACTCTCTTGCCTCAGCATCCCAAGTAGCTGAGACTACAGGTGACCACCACAGTGCCCAGCTATTTTTTTGTTGTAGTTGTCATTGTTGTTTAGCTGGCCCGGGCCAGGTGCCTCAGTGTATGTGGCCAGTGTTATAACCACTGTGCTACGGGCTCCAAGCCTCTTTTTCAGTTTTTGCTAGTGGTAGGGGTTCCTCGCTCTTTTATTGAGACAGAGTCTCACTTGCCCCCGGTAGAGTGCCATGGCGTCACAGCTCACAGCAACCTCAAACTCTTGGGCTTAAGCAATTCTCTTGCCTCAGCCTCTCAAGTAGCTGGGACTACAGGTGCCCACCACAACGCCCAGCCATTTTCTTGTTGTTGTTGCAATGGTCATTGTTGTCTAGCTGGCCTAGGCAGGTTCGAACCCACCAGCTTAGGTGTATGTGGCTGGCGCCCTACCCACAGAGCTACGGGTGCTGCCAGGTTTCCTCACTTTATATGTATAAAATTTCATTTCCTGGTTTTCTACGTGGACTTCATTTTCCTCTTGTTCATTTTTATGACATTAGGTTATTTTACTTGATTCCTAGCTTACTAGTGCCCTTTTCTGTCGGTCTAGCATAGTCCAGGCACTTCAGTGTGGATATTTTGTTTGCTGATTTGCCTCCGTGATAAGAGCAGAGTTGTTGTGAGTGCTCTCATATTAGTTTTCTTCTGCCTGGTAAAACTCTACATTTTCCTCCTCTTTTTTTCTTTTCCCCCTTCACCATCTAATTGCCAAAGGACATTTCTTCATTTCTTTTTGCCTTTTTTCCCTCCTCCAGAAGTTATGAGTTTGAAAGATTTCCTTTTAAATCCCCTTGCCTTTTAAATTGTGCTTATTCCTTTCAATCACACCAGATCCTTTAAATTGTATGCATTCTGAAATCTCTTCCCTGCAGTCCAGAGCTCCCATCTGAAGAGTTCAGTTCCTTTTTTATTATTTTCAGATTTAGGGCGTATGTGATACACGGCAGTGAGTCCAAATTACTTTAAAGGCCTGCCTTTACCAGTTTCCCTTTCTTAAAAGCCTTAGAACAGATATTGGTGATTTCTTCTTCTGTAAAAGGGCCCGACAGTAAAAATTTTAGGCATTATAGATCTGTAAGTCTCTGATGCAACTACTGAACTCAGCCCTTTGCATCTACTGAGATATTCACAGGATTTTTCTTCTTTCATTGGTTAATATGGTAAATTATACTGACTTATTTTTGAAATGTTGAAAGAAAAAGCAGCCACACCCAATATGTAAAATATGGCTGTAGGTCAATAAAATTTTATTTGCAAAAACAGATGGTATGGCTGGGCGCAGTGGCTCATGCCTGTAATCCTAACACTCTGGGAGGCTGAGGTGGGTGGATTGCCCTGAGCTCACAGGTTCAAAACCGGCTAGAACAAGAGTGAGACCCTCATCTCTAAAAAAAGCCAAAAATAGTCGGGCATTGTGGTGGGCGCCTATAGTCCCAGCTACTCAGGAGGCTGGGTCAAGAGAATAACTTGAGCCCAAGACTTTGAGGTTGCTGTGAGTTATGACACCACAGCACTCTACCAAGGGTGACAGAGTGAGACTCTGTCTCAAAAAAAAAAACCCCAGATGGTAGATGGTAGGCTAGATTTGGCCCCAGAGCTATACTTCATCTACCTCCTACCTTAGCTTATTTTACTGGGTTTATAACTTAGCATTCGTCAGATGAAATAAACTAGCATGCGTATATGCCAGGTACCATGCTAAAAACATAGATAAAAGGCTAATGGAGAAAGACATATAGTGTGTTCAAAAGTGAGGTAGGAAACAGGAGAAAAGGCCCCAATGCTGAAGGACAGGAGTCACGTGAGGCATAACTAAGAGAGCACTTGCCCTGACTCTGGTAGGACTTTCAGGTATTTTTATAAATGAAATAATTAATTTTGTGTACATCTTGTGTTTAAACATAAGCCTACCTTGGAATAAGAAAGTGCTATTTGTTGAAACACAGCATCGTCTGGTGATTTACTATATGTGGCAACTCCTTGTTCATCATCATCAAAAGGGTAATTAACCACCAAAGAACCTACGAGGGAAAGAGGAAAATGTAACATGTTACGTGTTTCAAGATGGACCGTTAGCTTTTCAGTCACGTGAATAAGCTTTTTGAAATACTGTCAGAGAAGGGAAACCATTAAAATCTGTCAAGGTGATTTTCCTCAATAGAAATAAGAAATATACTCATTTTCTCAATAGAAAATCAAAATAGGTTAAGTGAGGAAACGAATAGCTATGCAAGATGCCTAAAGGTTACCTTAACTAGAAAAGTCCTGGGAATTTACCTGAATTTACAGGTCAAATTTATATATCAGAGCTGGAACCAGAAGTATACAGGTATAATTTAAACAATTTTACTCTTATAATATTGAGGATCAGAAAAACTGTGTGAAATTTGATTTTTTATAGTAAAGTTCAGATATATTTAAGGTCATGGGATTTTAAAAGAAGAAGAAAGGCCAGGTAAGGTGGTGCGTGCCTGTAGTTACAGCTACTCTGAGGCTGAGGCAGAAGGATTGCTGGAGCCCAGGAGTTCAAGGCCATAGTGCACTACGCACTATGATCGTGCCTATGAATAGCCACTGCATGCCAGCCTGGGCAACAAAGTGATACTGTCTCTAAAAAATAAATTAAATAATTAAACAAGGAGAAACTCATGAGGTACAACTAATCTATCTTCCTCATTTTTCAGATGTAGAATCTAAAACAGAGGCTAAACCTTAACCCACTAAAATACTGAATATTTATCTTATAGTCAGATTAGCATTATTCAGAATTGTTAATGCTCTCCATTAGAAAACAATGCTACTATTTTATAATCATATGAGAAATTATTCAACTGGAGTTAATCATTTAACTTTTCACAACCTAAAATAAGGAAAGTAATGTTGCCAGGTGTGGTGGCGCTTGCTGGTAACTTAGGAAGCTGAGGCGGGAAGATTTGCTTGAGCCCAGGAGTTCAAGACCAGCCTGCACCATATAGCAAAAAGACCCTGTCTCACGTTTAAAGGACAAAAACAAAAATATATATATATTGCTTTTCAATATATAAAGGATATCAACTCTCTTCACGGTCCCCACAGGGCATAAAGTAATTAGGGTGCTTCTCAGGCAAAAGCCTCACACCGCCATTCCCCATCATAAGATTGAATCCTTTATTCTGTCATATCATTTTCATGTATCCATCTGTTCACTTATTCTACCTTCTACTAAGCCTTTCACTTTTGCCCTTTTTCATCCTACCACTTCATGGGAATGGAAGTAAAGAACCACATTCAACTTGAATTCAGATAAAACAATCCTATAATAAAAAACACCAGCAAACATTCCCAGAAAAAATAAAAAAAGAAACACTATGTTCATTCTATCCTCAAAATAGTACTGAGAACAAGTATGTTTCAGTACCCCCTCATATCCAAATTTAATTTCTCAGAAACATTTAATTTCACCTAGGATACATGACCCATGTGTAAAAACTCAAACAGAAAAAAAGTCAGCATCAACTTCTATTTAATATGAGGTCTGAAAGAGGAGTTCACAAACTCAACCTGGAAAGAGTTCGACACACCTCACTGCTGCACATCACTACGGTCACCTTCAAAGTGCTCCCCTCGGGAAGCTGTGCACCGATGCCACCACCTACTACCCTCCAAAGCAATTTTGGAACTTTGTCTAGAAGACCACCAGAGCTGTTGTCGTATGTCACACAAAAACACACAACAATGGCTCGGCTCCTATGGCTCAACCGGCTAGGGCGCCAGCCATGTACACCTAAGGTGGCGGGTTCGAATCCCCAGCCCGGACCCGCCAAACAACAATGAC